GCCCTCTTATGGCCTCTGTGGGCATTACAGTCATCTGGTACACTTAACATTCATGCAGGTAAAACACTTATACACATAAAAAATAAGTACCCTGAGCTCATGGATAGGATATGGTCAGTCTTGTTATCCAACTTGCTGTGGGAATTCCCTGTCTCTACCTTCTGAGGCTGGAATTACCACCTGGCATTACATATGGGTTCTAGGAATCTGAATTCTGCTCTTCATGCTCCCTCGGCCTCTCTCCTAATCATCCCAGGCATGGCCAGCCCTGCCCTGGACATCTGAGACATGGAAAATGGGGGACGTGCCTCTGCCTGGGATGTTCCAATCACAGACCCTATCAGGAACTGGCACTTGACTTCTCGTCTTCAGCAGTGATCACCACCAGGGAGCAGAGCTGAGCAGTGTGGTGGGTTTAGACCCTTCAGAACTTAGAATCTTAGCTCCCCACTCCACTAGTGACAAGTGTGGCATGAGGGGACATTATCACCAGCCACCACCCTCAGCACAGCCACTCAGCCTGCCCTTGTCACAGAGGGTACAGCTTTGACCATCATGGTCACAGAACAGCATTTCTCTAGAACTGGCCTCATGCTGGCCCTTGAATCTCACTTGCTGGAATGGACAGGGATCATGAGGAGGCAGAATGGGAGGAGAGAGGACAAGAGCCTTTACTGTGATTTCTGAGGGAGCCAGCAGGCATGCTGGGCTAAGTTGCGCAAAACTGGCCCATGGGAATTGTTTCAGTGGGCTCCGGGTATACGGTGTACCCAGTTGCCCCGCACGATGGCCCTAGAGTGAGAAGGACTAGGGAAAATATCCTAGTGCAAAGGAGAAGCACTTCATAAAGGAAGGTCCCGCGTGTGGGACCTTATGAAACGATGCTCAAAGGCAGATTAATTCCTGTTTGGGGGGCTGTTAGCCCTGAGAGGGGTAGTCCTTTCCACACCAGCAAGTCCCCACAACGTCAAAGATGTCAAAGCATCAAAAGTGTAGAATAAAGGACATGAAATATGACAAGCCCCTAGCTGTGTCCTCCTTCCTCCCCCCACCTCTCTCTCTAGTTCTAGAGATTGAACCCAGGACCTCACATACGCTAGGCAAGCACACTACTACTGAGCTCCAGCAGCCTCTATGGTGGCTCCTTAGCTAGGTGTTACCATCATCCCACCTCACTCACAGCTACATGGCAGTATGGGAGAGCCCCACCCAGAGGGACCACAGAATTCCTGAGGAACTCACAAATGCAAATATTCCTTAAGGTTCTCCTGCCCCACCCTTGCTAGCTTTGCCGTGAGAAATAAACTTCACCAAACTGTCCACCTCAATTGTTCTCATAGGTACCATGAGGGAACTGAGCTGAACAAGGGGCATAGCTAACTGAAAACAGACCCCTTCTGAGAAAGCAGGAAGAGCAGTAGATGAAGGGTTCAGAGGTGCCCAGGCCTCATGAGCCCACAATCTTTTGGGGAGGTGCAGGAGGCATACTGGGAATTGAACTACGGCCTCATAATGCTAGGCAAGCACTCTATCACTGAGCTACAGCCCCAGGTTTTCACAGTCTTCTTGACGAGATCAGTCTCGGGTGAAACTAGAGGGCATCACAGGGAGAAGGACACTGGGACTCAGGCTAGTGCCTGTCAAAGCCTGGCTTGAGGGGTCAGAGCTGCAGGGAGATACAGTTGTAAAGAGGCCAGGCCTAGAGATCTTCAAAAACCTCAAGTGTACAGGTGGAGCTGCAGAGTTAGGAAGTCTCAGGCTCTTGGGCTGGATGGGGTGGGGTTTTGTGAGTTTTGCTTGTTTTTGAAATAGGTTCTCTTATATCTCAAACTGGCCTTAAATTCAGCTTGGGAGTTGTGGGTGACCCTTAGCAGAAGATGTCCTTGAACTTCTGATCCTCCTGCTTCCACCTCCTGAGTACATTACAGGTATGTACCACCATGCCTGGCTTATGTGATTCTAAGGATCGAACCTAGGGCTTCATGCTTGCTAGGCCGCACTCTGTCCATTGAGCTACATCCCCAGCTGTGATGAGGTCTTAATCCCTTGCTTTATCAATAACTAGCTGTTTCACTGTCTGTCAGTGACATAACCTCCCTAAACTTCAGTAGCCTCATTTCCAAAGCAAGGCTTAACACCCAGAGTTAACATTCTTAGAACCATTATCAAGATGAAATGAAGGCTGGGGATGTAGCCCAATGGTAGAGCTCTAGCCCAGCAGCCACACTGCTGTGAGTTCCATTCCCAGTGGTGTAAAAACAAAAAGCAAAAAGATTAAATAAAACAACCGTATACGGTACTCAATACCAAACCCAGCACAGAGCAGGTTATCAGAGGAGTAAATACTCATAGCTCATAGAAAAAGACAGTGATCCCTCTGTGCTTCCAGATACCTCCTCACAGAATGCTGTCTGTCTGCTTCCCAAGAGGAATACTAGGCAAGTGTATTAGACTTCTGAAAATGGAGTACACCCGACCTTCTCAGCCTTAGCAGCTTTAGATGGTAGAGGCTGAACAGGATGCCAACAGGGTTTTTAAGTTTTGAGCAATGTGATTTTAAGGCAGCTCTTGAAAGACTGGCAGAACGCACAGCATGCGTTCTCTTGGTCGGGGAGCACAGTGAGCCTAAGGCATTGACATGAGTAGTTGATGAGGTTTTTGGTCTTGAGGAGAAAGGAGCTTAGCAGCATTATGTCTAAGCAGCAAGAATTCCCTGGACTGACGTTGCATTTGTTCACACATTCCCCATTCTCTTTTAGCACCCAAATCAGAGAGCATGCTGTGTCTCAGTGCTGTGTAGCTCGAGAGCAGGACCACATGTTGTTTTCAATATTATTATCAATATCATTATTGTTAGGATTTTTAGAAAAGTTAAGTGAAGTCACGGCCACATCCTCTAACAAATGCTGCCACTAATTAGAATGAGGCAGAATATAACCAGGGCAGAATATGATACAATCATTTAAGTAGGTTGACCAATTGTCCCAGTTTGAGACAAAGGGTATTTTTTTAAGACATAGAACTTCCTGTTTTATGTTTTATTTTGTTTTGTTTATTCATTAAAAGCTCAGACTCACAACCAAAAAGACAAGAACTTCCTGCTTTAAAACCAAAACAGTTTAGGATATGGAACTTTCAAGAAAGCCCCAAGCAAGTAAGGTCTAGCAACTGCTGACCAGTCTGGGATCAAGACAAGAAGCCTTTTGCCTAGCACACACAAGGCCCTGGGAAAGAAAGGAAGGAAGGAAGGAAGGGAGGGAGGGAGGAAGGAAGGAAGGAAGGAAGGAAGGAAGGAAGGAAGGAAGGAAGGAAGGAAGAGACAGAGGGATGGACAGAGGGAGGGATGGAGGGAGGAAGGGAAAAAGAGAGAGGAAGGGACAGAGAGAGAGAGAGAGAGAGAGAGAGAGAGAGAGAGAGAGACACGAGTGAAGAGAGACCCAAGTGTTTCCTATAGCTGTTTGGAATGTAATCAGATCTTGTTCTAAGTAACAGAAAAGTCACACAGTAGAGTAGGTGGCACTTTGAGAGCCAGAAGCCAGGCTTCTTAAAGGGCAGAAGCATCACCCTCCACCAGTATTTGTTACAACCCAGATTTGAGGCCTTTGCTGAGGGTGTTGAAACAGGCCTACAGAAGCATCTAATAGACGGCATTGAAAACAAGCCCTTAGAGGCTCACACTCAGGTGAAGCTGGCCATCCCAAGGCAGCCTGAGTACCCTTTCTTGGGTGAAGCTAGAGCTCTGCCTCTTTCTGGTTGTGCTTTCATTTGGATTTTTCTCTTCTGTCCATTGAAAAGCCTGAATTAGATGAAGAGTACCCACTCCACATGGGAGTCAGAAACCAAGCAAGAAACTGAGTTCAAAGTTTGACTTTCCTCGGTCCTCTTTGCAGGCAGGTAGAGGCCAGCAGCTCTCCTCCACCACCCTAGGAGGACAGGTAACACCATCAGGGCTACACTGAGGGAAATTAAGGGAGGAGAGGGGATTGTGAAAAGTCCAAGCTCTGAAGAGACAGGCAACTAGGCTATTAGGAGAGAATACAACTCTTTCTTCTCTACCTACCAAGAGGGGACCATCCCTTGTAGGGTGATCAGATATCTAAGATTAATGAGTCAACAGGACTTGAGAGCACTCTGTGGGTAAACGAGGTAAACTACTGCCTCTTGGAATTTATTAATTACTTTTCCTGATGTAGGGTGATCAGATATCTAAGATTAATGAGTCAACAGGACTTTGAGAGCACTCTGCGGGTAAACGAGGTAAACTACTGCCTCTTGGAATTTATTAATTACTTTTCCTGTCCTGGGAGAGAAAGGGGAAACGTGTACTCCATGAGTCCAAGGCAGGAGCTCAGGTTTCTCCCAGGCATCCTTTGCTTCCAGACCCCTGGGATCCCAACTGGGTACCCTTACCAGGAGGGTTTCCCCTCAACAGGCTCTGCCAAATCCAGATGGGTGAGCCCTAGATGGGCTGTTTGGTTTGAGCCACAGCTGCCTGGGTTTCCTCTACCCTGTTCCCAGGCCCCTTGCAAGGCTCTAACAACCAGATCTTATCTCCAACTGTGGAATTTTCCCACAGGGGATATGAAAGGTCAGCTATGTGTTGTGGGAGCCCTGAAGCAGGCTCACTGCCTTCTGCTACAGGAGGGCTTTGAGGAGCTCACACCTGCTGGAGCCCTATGTCCTAAACATACCAGGGAGTCTAAGTGAGGGACGCCACCATGGTGCCTGACTTGCAGGATTGCAGAAAAAAACAGGTGTATGTGGAAGTATAGTTAAGTTCCCAGTTGACAAGCTGGGGATGGGTGCAGGGCCAGTAACCCTATCACCCTAAACTAGCAGGTCTGAGATACCACATCATCATGATGTACGGGGACCATCTCCATGACCTTTGCCACACATCTGTGTTCCACAGGACAGTTGTGTCATTTCTTTATCTTATGTATATAAGTGTTTTGCCTGCATGTATGTAAGTGTATTACATGTAAGCAGTGCCTGCAGAGGCCATTTATGTTTTTATTTAATCATTTGAAAAAAGCATTGATAAAGATAGGGGTATTCTATATAGATTGTGAACTCAAATATAAATACACTGAGCATTCCACAGCAAGGAGTACAATTAATCCCCAACCGCACAGTCACATGGATGGGTGAATCACCCAAGGTCAGGTGAGGGGAGGAAGCTGGTGCCCCATAATTCTATTGAAACAAGTGATGCATTGATAAGGTACAGCTAGCCCCTGCTGCTTAAAGTGAGGGGGGAGGGCAGTCCCTGGAGAGTGGAGACAGTGACTAGGTGGGGACAGAGAGCTCTCTTCTACATTGAAAATGGTTAAATTCTGCCACTGGATCAGAATGTGAGTTTCCCAGGTTGCTCAGTTTGTGAAAAGGTCATTCAATTTAATATCCAGTCAGCAGTAACTATGGTGTAAACTGCAATAAACAACACACAAAACATTAAAAATTAAAGTAAGTGGAAACGCAGCAGACATTACAATGCTATACAGTTCCACCCAGAATCCCTTTTTTAGGACCTAAGCCTGCTGCCCAGATGAGAAGAGGGTGGCTAGATACGCCCAGGGCTTCAAGGCTGCCTGCCTGGCCCTCAGCTCCTCCTCATCAGATGGCTGGTGAGGAAGTGGCTTTCTTCAGGTCTCAGGTTCTCTTTGTCCCAGCACTTGGGAAAACAATGCAGGAGGCACCTTCTCCCAGCAGCAGGTAAATGATTAAAATGAGGCACAGGTGGAGAGTTGGGGACGCTTTGTGTGGGATGGGAGGAGGTGGCTGGGTGGCCTTGGTGACCAGTGGAGCTGAACAGCTCACTACTGGAGATATGAGGTGGCAGGCCCATCACAGTGGCTGCAGCACAGCAGAGAAGCTGGCTTTGGGGGCTTTGCACCCCTGAATTCCCACCACACCATCAGGCTGTGCAGGGCTTTGGGATGTCAACTCTCTGGCTTAGAAAATGAATAGGTGCTGACATCATCCCAGGTCAAAGGGAGTGATTGGGAAGGGCTAGGTCACCACCCCCATCCTCAAGGTCCCACCCTAGCTTCAGCAGAAAGGGCCTGGGTCCCAACCCCAGGGCCACCACCTGACCTGATCCCACCAGACCCCCCTGGCGTCTCCATCCCCCTAAAGCTGAGCAAGAGCTATCCCAGGGCCCTCCATCCCCTTTTAGGCTCGGTTAGTACTAAGCGTTAATGATTAAATGGGATTCCTCCATTAACCCCGCCAGGGCCTTTGTCTCCCAGCCAACAAGGAGTCTCCTCCTTTGAAATGCCACATAAAAATGATAGATGCCCTTTTCCTCCTTCCCGGGGTCACCAGGTCCTGTATTCCTTAAAAGTTTGAGTGGACAACACAGGGTCTGCCTTGTTTAAACACAAAAGCACGAGGCCAGCCAGGACTAGGCGGCCAGGCCAGGGTTGGACCCCACGGAGAGAAGTGCCCCGCAGCAGCAGGATCCGAGCCAGGGCCACTGGAGCCCCAGGAGCCACAGAGACTGGGGAGTCGGGGCTCCGCCTTCATCCAGGTGCCAGGGAGCGGCTTGGAGCTGCAGGGCGCTTGGAAGGAGACTGAGCAATCTAGGATGTCGGTGATGGCAGCAATAATTTCAAACAAGGAACATGTAAAGCGGCAAACTTGTCTTCTCGAAGAATGGAAGAGAAAAGATGTGGGCGTGGTTTGAAATTCCAGCACTCTGCGCCTGTGCTGTTACTGAGCACTGGATTGTCGCGGCTCCACAGTTTCAGCATCCTTGACTCCTTAAAGATGCAGAACCCCTTCCCACCGCCTGGTGGCGCAGCCCTGCAATCCCAGTTGCTGGGGGAGGGGGCGGAGCAAGACGGAAGGAACTCAAGTTTCAGGACTGCTTGGGTTACAGAGTGAGTTCAAGGCTTGGGCAACTTAGTGAAACTGTCTCAAAATAAAAATGATTTGGGGGCGGCGCGGGGGTGTGGGGTGATGCTGAGCATGTACTGCAGTGGTAGAATGGGTTCCTAGCATGTTTGAGGCCACAGGTTCGAGCCTTAGTGCTGGAAGGGAGGGCGGGCAAGGAGAGAGAACTCCATAACTGCTCGTTTAAGCCTCACAAGCTGCCAATTTGCAAGAAGGTTCAAGCCCCCAGAAGTTTGGTGACTCTCCAGGCATCTAGGGGTTTTAGAAGCCAGGCTGCCGAGACTCCCACTCAGGCACCCCCACAGAACCTTGCTAGAGCAGCTCTGCCGTGTCACTTCTGCAGAGCCTTAGGAATAACCGGGGCCAGATCCTGGAGGCAGGCACTGCTCCTAGAAGAGATGGACCAGTGGGAAACACACTTAGCGGGAGAATTCACCTTTACCACCTCCTCCCACTTCAGTCTCCACCCCACAACAGCTCGGGAAGAACAGTGCTGCCCATGCGCAGCCCTCCCTACACTAACACAGCCCCTGAACCAGGAATGGGTTAATGTAGGGTTCCCTAGCTGCATTAATTGTGTTTATCTGCTGTAAAGTAAGCTATTTAGTTTTCTGATTTACAGTCCTCAGTTTTCATAAAAGTCAGTCATTCCCAGTAAAAGAATGTGGGTTAGATTTATAGGATCTGCGTTAGTCTTTAAAGCCCCAAGCTGGTCTATGACTCACCCTCCGTGATGTTTTTGCTCTAGTCCGGAGATATTCATGTGCTAAGAGACAGATTCAGATCTCTGCCCTGAAAAATAAGACTTTTGGGGGGCAACTAATTATAATGGCGTCCATTGTACTATGCTTGTAAACTTGCCGCCCCCCTGGAGCCTGTTTTCCAGGGGATTTATTCTGCAATAAAATGTGCTCTGGTTTGTAGCTTGGCATATAAGATCTCCACTGGTATGAGGAAAGCTTTTCCTACCAAATTATTAGAAATAAACAGCCCACCAGTGGAAAGACAGAAAAATTATAAGCAAGGAAAATAAATCTTGGAATGTTTGCATTTAGTGACTTTAATAGAATCGGTTGACTTAGCTATGCAGGCCAATTGGCTGCATGGAGCCAGCCTGGTATTTTTATTTTAATTTCAGTTTGTGTTTTGCCAGTGTGAAATGGGGTCAAGGCAATACACCACGGAAAAAGACTTTGATGTCTCTTTGAAAAATATTTTGTACTGTGATTTCTCAGTATTTAGCGTCCTTCTCTCCCCCTCCCATTCTCAGCCTCCAGCCTGATGCACTGCCTGTCTAACCCATGACCATCACACATAATAAAATATAGCCATCATCAACAAGCCTCTTTCCAACTCCCTCCCCTCCCCCAACAAAGTCAGAATTCAGGGCAGAATGACTTACAATGTAAAGTTAAAATGCCGATCAAGATAACCCAGTATGATTAAAGGAAACCAACCTTGTAAACTTTCTCCAAAGCAAAGAGAGGGGCCCAAGTGCGAGAGGAGGGGCAGGGTGGAAGGTCATGTGCATTGGGCTGACGGCCAGTCCAAATAGCCCCAGTTAGGAGGTGAAGGCTTGCCAGCCGGTTGAGAAATGGAAAGGCCAGGTCAAAAGGAAAGGCAGAGAGTATAGGTCTCAGAATAAATTCATTTTCCTTCCCTGTGTGCAAGAGAGAAAAAGATGGCCTTCAATCTGTGAGAGCTTTCATTCCGTCTCTATGTGGGTGAGGGAAAGATGCGGACTGGAGTCAGGAAGTGTTGGCTTCATACCTACAGTGGGTGGGTCAGGTGAATGTGACCTGCCTGTGACAGGTGAGGGAGCAGGTGAAGAGGCAAGATTTCAGTACAAGGAAGCAGTGCACACATGTCCAGGTCTGCCACATGTGGCTTGTTTGAGTTTCAGTGTTGCTGGGGGAGAAGGTCTCATTAGGCCTCTTTCTTAACTCACCTCAGTCTTACCTCCACATAAGGCTTCCTGGTAAGTGTCTCTCAATGATGGGCAAAGGTGGTCCTGTATCCACTGAGATCAGTGGGACAAAGAAGACACATACAGTCTACTCCAGCACACAATTTAGAAAATGATACGAGCAGCAGAGAGGGATTATGTGTGAATCTGGAAGTCTGGGAAGATTTCAGGGAGACAGTGGTGTTTCCATGGCTCCTGGAGATTCAGTAAGGGTTTGACAGATAGAGGAGAGGACCAAATATCATGGGGGTAATAAGAGGAATGAATAAAAGGGTTTTAAAGCAGGCTTCTGACCTGTCTGGAAAGAGGCCAGAACTCTCTGTGGTTTCTTCATGGGATGTGTGAAGAACCAACCAAGGCAGGGAATATAGCTAGCAGAGATACGCTTGCAAATTGCAAAATCTACTCTTAACCCTGTCAGTACCAGGGATCTTTCTTGACTCTCAGAATAGGATGGGTTCCAGGCGTCACTCCTTTTCTCACCCTAGAGCACCATGTCAGGGTGACTTCCCTAAGGTACCGTGAGTCTTGTCTTGATCACTGTTCAAACAATTCATGACCAGAGCACAGTAGGTCTTGAAGGAAAAGCAGGTGCAGGATGAACGTCACTTTCCACATTTTCATGGCAACAAGTTGAAGCAGAGGACAGAAGTGCTGGAGCAGGAACTTGGTCTTTGGGTTGGAAGGTAGAACGGGGTAGGGAGGACCAGGAACAGGAAGCAGAGATCCATCGGCTGCGTCAGGCAGCAGAGGCTGGGATCTATTGGATGTGAATGCCAAAGACTGGGGGTTTCAGAGCCAGGGTGAGGGGAAAAGAGCTGTGGCAGCGTTCCAGATGAGGACACCAGGGGCCTGATAGTTCAGAGATGATGGTGACAAGATGCTCATAGGGAGTGGGCTGGGCGGGCGGGGGATGGGGTGGATTCAACTTGAATCTGCTGCATGCCAGTGTGGTGGAACTTCCAGTAGATAATCTGTAGTAAATAGCTAGAAAGTTAGCCTAGAACCATCTGCACGACATAGACAGAAAGCCAAGGTCAGAGCTGGGTAGTGGCCTGTTTGTAGAGTAGGAACATCAGAGGCTAAATCTGAAATCCCTTTCCTGTGCTCTCCGTCTTCTTTACCTATGATTTTGGATTCACGGTGGGGCAGTCAACTCTCCCCTGACCTTGTTTTGACCTTAAAAAGTACTAAATCTGAAATCCCTTTCCTGTGCTCTCTGTCTTCTTTACCTATGATTTTGGACTCACGGTGGGGCAGTCAACTCTCCCCTGACCTTGTTTTGACCTTAAAAAGTCCCATAAATTGGGGGCTTATTAGGGCTGTAAATGTTACTCCCATTAGTACATTGGGCAATAGCTCGGCTGTCCAGAGCCTTCAATTTCATGTCCCTTTGTGATAAACACCTGGGACAGTAAACAGCCTGTCCTTCTGTGGCTCCATGAGTTAGCTCTTTTGCAGTAATGCTCACTGTTCAGTATGAGAACATCTAAAAACCAAGTGTTTCCTGCTTGTAGATTGGAACTGGTTGGGAAGATCTGTGGTTGATGGAGCAGAGGGGTGACTTTATCACTTCAGAGGGGTCAAGAAAATAGATGACTAAGCTTACACATGACAAGGAGAGAGAAAAGGGGGCCAGCATGGGGAAGAGGCAGAGGGTGAAGTTATGAATGGGGAGATGTTGGTCTCAACTTGAGCTTATGAGGAAAGTGAAACTGCGTGTGGACATCACGAAGTGGGGACAAGGCCCTCCCAGGGCTTACACCTGGAAATCCAGTTAGGAAGAGCCTGGTATCCTTGAGCAGTGGGAGGAGAGGGAGTGAAGGTTCTGGCTGAAGAACCACACATAATTTAGAAGACAAGATGGAGGAGCTCCCATTCCACTGAGCTCTGGACTAGCAGCCTCCTCCAAACCTACCCAGTCATGTCTCCAGAAAATGTCTTTTCCCCTGACTGAGTGGTCTGAGGGTCAGAAAGACCCATTTGGAGCCCACGACCCCCTATAACTGTAAGATGATGAGTGGTTGATGGCCTTGATAGTGCGGTTACAGGAAACATAAACAGAGGAGCAAGTGGAGGCTTCCTGAACCTGGGACTGAGGTTTCTGATATGGGAAGACTTCGAAGTTGCCATGTTTGGTCTCTGGGGAGACCAAATTTCCTGAGTCCCTGGTTTGGTTTCTGAGAAGGAGATACCGTAACTGCCCTTAGCGACTGCATATTACAGATCCAGGAAGAGAAGTAAAGTAACTGAGTGGTGGGGAATCTGAGATTTCTTAAGAAAGTTGACCATGTACAGTACCAGAAGGCAGTAGAAAATCCTGTGCAAGGAGGTTGTCTCTACTCTTTAACCTGAAGTCAGTTTAGCTTTGCCAGATGAGCAGAGAAGAAAATACAAAACAAAACAGTTGGATGTAAACAGAAGAGCAAGGATGAACTAGAATCCACTAAGACATACTGGACCCTAAGCCAAGGTCCCATCTGGCTTTGATGGCATGAGTGACCTGTTGTAACTGTACCCTTTGCCACAGAAATGCACATACCTGACCAGAAGAAGCTGAGGGAGCAGATCCTGAGGGAGCTGACACAGCTCCAGGTGCACATCACACCCCAGGCCAACAACAACATGGGGCAGTGGAACAGCAGCCACATACATGAGCTGCTGGGGCACTGGGCCAGCTCAAGAGCACAAAATATCTATCAAGCCACTTGTGTCTTCCAAAGGCCCCACAGATACCTCCTGTGGCTAAACTCAACCCAGGACCATACAGGAAGGGGAATTCTGGGAATCATGGTTCCAACCTGGGTAGGCTAGTATGTTTCTAAATCAATGGTGTGGAAAGTTAATCTTTGTTAAGTGTCAGGAACTCCAATGCCATTGTTCCATTCACTTGAATCACCTAGTCAATTACATTCATTTGATCTATAAAGGTAATGAAGCTCAGAAGGGTTAAATGCTTTCTGAAACCATGCAGCCACTCTGAGAAAGGCACAGGGATGGCCAATGAGTGGAAGGGGGTGCTGGGCACCTGCATTCATTAGGGAAACATAAATGGAAACCACAGTGAAATGCCTCTTCACTTCCACAAGGATGGCTGTGGTTTAAAAAGAGATGGGGGGGGTGTTCTAATGTATGGAAGTTATCATCTTCACACATTCCGGGGGGGGGAGCAGTGTGAAATGGTGTACTGCCTTCATAAAACATGTGTCAGTTCCTCAAAATGCCATGGGTGGACTTAGCACAGAACCCGGCAGTTCCATGCACAGATATATACCCAAGAGAAATGAAAGCAAGCATCCATACAAAAAGTTGTACACAAATACTCAGAGTAGCTTTATTCATAACAGCCCCATTTTAGAAATGACCCAAATGTTCAATAGACTAATGGATAAATTAAAAAGTGGTCCATTCATACAATGCAGTATTATTCATCCCTAAGAACCAATGAAGTGTTGATGCATGATAACATGGAGTGTTGAAAATGCTATGCCATGTGAAAGAAGCCAGACACAAATGGTCATATATTATATGATTCCATTGATGGAAAGTGTTTCAAATAGGCAAAGCCGTACAGACAGAAAGACTCGTGGTTGCTTTGGAGCTGGAGGCAGTGTTAAGGGTAATTGGGGAGTGTGATGGTTAATACTGACCATCAACAACAGAATCTAGAATCCCCTAGGGGACATACCCGTGGGCATGTCATTGAGAGAGTGGGTTAACTGAGATGGAAAGACTCACACTAAATGTGAGCAGCACCATTCATGGGCTGAGGTCCCAGACTGCATTAAAATGAGAAGACAAGCAGAGCACCAACATGCATTGCTCCCTGCATCCTGACTATGGATGCA